TGCCTCTCTCCCTCTAAGAGAAAACAGCATTATGGCAGAGCGCGCGCTCTCACGGGAGCGTGCCGTGGTGCGCTCAGGGACCTCAGTGAAAAATCGGCCGTTTTTTTCTCGGAGTGGAAACTGCATTATAGAAAAACGGCCCTTTCTGTGTCAGCCCCCCATGGGTCAAACTTCCTTTTATGAAGGGTTTGACGGCGGAGTGGGCCACCAGAGAGTACCACAGCTTCATAGCTGCGGCTCCGCAGCTGATTGCACATCCCCTAACACAATGTTATGGGGAATGGAAAATCAGTGGTGTATTAACAGAGCGGATGGACAGGACACTGAGACTGGGTTATTCACTCCAGTTTTGCAGCATCCCTCCTCCGTTCAGAGGCATGAGAGAGGCAAATCTGTCATCCCAGGAGGAGATAGGTTTCCTCTCGGCATGTGCACTCTCAAGTCAGAGAGAAGGGGCACTATTCCCTGTACTTCCTGGTTCCCAAGAAGACAGGAGAATTCAGGCCCATTCTGGATCTTCAATGCCTGAACCAACACATTGCATGCAAGAAGTTCCATATGTTAACTATGAAACAGTTACTGGGACTGGTGCAGCCAGGCGATTGGTTCACAACCATCGACCTGAAGAATGCTTACTTTCATGGCGAAATTGCTCCAAAACACAGAAAGTATTTGCGTTTTGCCTTCTAGGGGGTAGCCTACGAGTACAACAGACTGCCGTTCGGCTACTCCCTATCCCCACGCACGTTCAGCCACGGCGGTGCAACCGCTGCGGGACCGTGGCATGAGGGTGTTCTTTTATCTGGACGACCTCATAGTCATGGCCAGGTCCAGGGAATGGGCAATGTTTCACACAGCCCAATTGATCCTACACCTAACCAAGTTGGGTTGAAAAAGAAGTTGCGGTCAATTGGAAGAAGAGCTCCCCCATACCTCACCAGCAGGTAGAATATCTGGGGGTGATGCTCGATGCAGGCAGACTATGTGCCACCCTGACAGAAAGCAGACAGGCATCCCTGCTGCGGGCAGTCTGCAGGGTGCGTCAGGGAGCGACGGTGACAGCTTTGATCATCATGCAGACTTTGGGTCTCATGACGGCTGCTCACTCCGTAGTGCCACTCGGACTGCTGCATGCACGTCGCATGCAGAGGTGGTTTACCGGCCTTCGTTTAGATCTCAAGACACAAACGACGTCTGGTGGCCATCCCCCCCTCAGTAGAGAGCAACCTCCGATTCTGGGGGTCCCCAGAGAATCTGCAGAGGGGAGCTCCACTGGGGCAAGTGACCTCCTATATCACAGTCTTCACAGACGCTTCAGTGACAGGATGGGGGGGGACGTGCCTAGAGAGAGCTGTAGGTGGTTGCTGGCCTCTGACAGAGGCGCGGCACAGCAACCTCCTGGAGCTGCAAGCAGTGATGTTGGTCCTACAGCACTTCAAACCCTTAATACAGGGCAAACATGTGCTAGTGAGGAGCGACAACCGCACCACAGTGGTGTACATCAACAGGCAGGGCGGAGTCCGCTCAATAGCCTTGTTGACCGCAGCAGAGAACCTGTGGCTGTGGGTTTCACAGATTGTGTTGTCTCTAAGGGCGCTGCACATCCTGGGACGGGAGAACGGGGGGTGCGACCTCATGTCAAGAGGCGGACCCCTGCCAGACGAGTGGAGGCTTCACCCGGAGGTGGTGAAGCAGGTCTGGACTCAGTTCGGGTGAGCAGAGGCGGACCTGTTCGCCAATCGGCGCAACAGCCACTGTGCCCTGTGTTTCTCCCTGGCCCGGTGGGACAATCCGCACTTGGGGGTGGACGCATTTGCACACGAGCCATGGCCAAGAAAGCTGCTTTACGCCTTTCCACCGCTGCACCTTATCCCCCCCTCCTGGAGAGGGTGAGCCGGGAGCAGCTGTCAGTCATCCTAGTGGCCCCAGATCAGAATCAGAATACCTTTATTAGTCCCACAGAGGGGACCGTGGTACGTGGGGGAACACAGATGATGGTGGGCCATTCCTGGGCTATGCCTCAGGTCTGGGGAGCGCTGTCTCAGGAAGCAGGTGCAATAGGGGCGTTACCCACTCTGGGCCAACCTCTCCAGGCTTGGCTCCTGAGAGGGACAGGCTGACACAGGTGGGACTGTCTGACAACGTTATTCAGACTATCCAAGCAGCAAGAGCAGAATCCACCACAGCCTGTTACAGGCCAAAGTGGGCGGGATTCCGGCGATGGTGTGAAGGAAGGAGTCTAGAGCCTCTGTCATGCACACTGGGCTCTATTCTTACCTACTTACAGATACTGGTGGACAGGGGGCTGGCTCATTCCACAATTAAAGTGTATGCAGCAGCCATTTCATCCTGCCATGAGGGATTTGGAGGCAGGTCAGCCTTCAGTCAGCCGCTTATGGCGCGGTTTTTGCAGGGGGTCAGGAGGCAGTGCCCAGTAGTGCACGCCTCCGCCCCACAGTGGGACCTGCCGTTGGTGCTCGAGGCTCTGGTCACAGAACCATTTGAGCCTCTGGAGCTCTCCTCCCTGAAAGCACTGTCATGGAAGACAGCGTTGCTACTTGCCTTGACTTCGGCCAAAAGAGTGTCCGAGCTGACCGCTCTGTCGGTGCACCCAAGCTGCCTTTTGATCCGGGGTGACCGTAGCGGGGCGACATTGTGTGCGCTAGCATGTTATGTAGAGCACACGGCTGCCATTAGGCGCACTGAACAGCTGTTTGTGTGCTTTGGGGATGGTGTGGCTGGAAAAGCTCTTTCCAAGAAGCGCCTAACAGGATGGCTATGCGGGTGCATTATACATGCCTATGGACGGGCGGGGAGAGCCCTCCCCACTGGGGTCCGTGCACATTCTACACGGGCTGTGGCTGTGTCAACAGCCCTATTCAGCAGCGTGAGTGTAGAAGATATATGCACAGTGGCGTCTTGGTCCACGCCAGGCTCCTTCATAAAATGTTTTCTCCTGGCTCCTTCTCGTTGTCTGTGCTTGCCGAGGCAACGCATGACTGGTGAGAGGGTGGCTGTGGGTCAGCAGGTATCTGACCCTGGACATAAAGCACTTTTTTATATAGTTAATACAGTTTTTCCCATGCTCCTGAGGGACTCGGGAGACATGGTGCGCAATCAGCCCCATACAGGGCTGGAGGACCATACAGGGCTGTCCCAGCCTGCCCATAGGCAGGCGGGGAGAGCCTTCCTCACTATTGTCCATGCCCACTCTACACGGAGCGTGTGTGAGTGTGGGGGACGTGGTGCACTTATGTTTTCCCATGCTCCTGAGGGACCTGGGGAACATGGTGCGCGGTAGGCTCCAGACGGAGTCTCCGCACAATTTTTTCCATGCACACTCTACACGAGGTAAGCGTGTGTGAGTGTGCCTTATCCAAGTTGCGGCCCAGACTTCTCCACGGTTACAACCGGATGGGAGGAAGTGGGGATGCAGTGGATGTTAGCCAAAAGCCGGTCAGGGACGGTGTGGTGGGTCGATGTTGTTGGACGACAGGGCGTTTATACATCGGGGCTCCGCCCACTGTACCCATAGAGTCCAGTAGAGGGCGGAGCCTGTGTTAAATATAACGGGGGGTTACGTATTGTAACCCTAGTTATATAAGCACAGGCGGAGCCCTCTACCTGGGGGCCCTATCTTTCCTAAGCAGCTCGCTGAAGAGTGTGTAGGATAGCGGGCGGAGGGCGTAGCCGCCTTATATACTGTGGGCCTGCACGCGCATTCAGGTAGGCTCGCCCGATTGGCCGGCTACGTTTACGTAACTCAGTAGGTGAAAGCATGCACAGCATGATAGAGAGTAGTACCCATAGAGTCCAGTAGAGGGCTCCGCCTGTGCTTATATAACTAGGGTTAGAATACGTAACCCCCCGTTTTGTATACAGCGGACTACATGGATGTACAACAGGGGTGGGGAACCTCCGGCCTCCGGGCCGTATACGGTCCGCGAGACCATTTGATACGGCCCTCGAGGTAATTTATAAGCACACGAAAGAAAAAAAAATTAAAGAAAACTAGACCGCAAAATTATTGAGAGGGGTCTGCCTGCAGGCCTCCACTCTCAGGACAGTTCCGGTGTAGGCTACACTCTCAGGACACCTCCACTCTCAGTACAGGATGTGACGATTCTGACGAACACGCCCCACAGTGGGACCTGCCGTTGGTGCTCGAGGCTCTGGTCACAGAACCATTTGAGACCAAATTATATTTAGAGCGCACGGCTGCCATTAGGCGCACTGAACAGCTGTTTGTGTGCTTTGGGGATGGTGTGGCTGGAAAAGCTCTTTCCAAGAAGCGCCTAACAGGATGGCTATGCGGGTGCATTATACATGCCTATGGACGGGCGGGGAGAGCCCTCCCCACTGGGGTCCATGCACATTCTTTCACGTTTTTTTCCCCGCCCACCGAAGGACTCGTCTGATGGAAGTTTTCAAATCACAATGGAGACTCATCACGGAGGTGATGAGTCCACTCACCATGCACTTTGGGTCGGCCTTGGTCAAGCCCTTTTGACCCCACCAGCCTGGTTCTCGTAAAAGTAAAATGACACCATTGAATGTAACGGGAGTTGACAGGGTACTCACGCCTCACGAGTGCCTATTTTTTCACTTTTCCCCCTATTTTATGAATTTTTCTTCTCCAGTTCCTTCTACCAGGGACATTGCCCGGTCTCGGGTGTCCCCCCACGGCCTGTGTCCAGCCATTTCCCCCCCCCCCACTCATCCATATATTAACAGATTTTGACAATTTTTGTTGCATTTTTCTCCTCTCCTCTCACTGATCGAATGTCAAACGTGACCCACCATCGGAGGGGCCTCCACCGGCCCGGCCTAGTGCAGGTGCTCTGGCGGTCGGTTCCTCCGAACTGCGGGTTCGACTCTGATGGCTGGGAGGGTGTGCTGCGTTGGGGTGGGGGACTTCCCCCACTCTGCGTGTCTCTTCCTTCCCAGGCCGGCCAATATGAAGCGTGACCAAGATGCACCGTCTGACTCAGGGGTCCCACCACGGGTCCCGCAGCGGGGTGGAGGTTCCCGGCTGGAACCTATTGGTTTCTGCTGATTCTCTCGCGTCCAGGAAGAAGTTTAAAGATTAAGAGACAAATGAGTCTCTGTAAGGGTTCAAATTGGTTACTTTAATTTAAGCAGCGTGAGTAGTATTACATATCCCGCTTCAATCTCATTAGTATGCATAAAAAAGTGACAGGTCACACCTTCTAAGTCCCGCCCCCTAATTATGTTAATGACCCCCCTTTGATATGCTAATGAGCCCCTTTGTTCGAGGTGTTATCGCGTACAGGTGTTACATCCCCCCCGGTAGCCCTCAGCCCACCCCCCTCCCCCTCACATACAGGTGTTACATCCTCCCCGTAGCCCCCACCCTTCTCAGCCCCCACCCCGCTCAGCCCCCACCCTCTCAACCCACCCCTCCTCCCCCCTTACAGCAGGTTTCACATCCGCCCTCCCAGCCCCCAACCCTCTCAGCCCCCACCTCCCTCAACCCACCCCCCTCCTCATCCCCCTCCTGTCCGGTCAGCAGGGCCGTTACAGTTTAAATCTTACGGACAAAATTAGATATGATTCGATATTAAACAAACTAATTATAGTAGATTAATTAACTATTCAAACGTGTACAGTAATTTACAATAACACGGGAATAATAAAACGGGGGCGCTCTCCCTCCTCTCATGACAACACGCCAGTATCATGCAGCTCGCGGGTCCAATAATGAGTGACTCGACAGTAAAACTAAAACATATCTATAAATAGTTTAGGTAGTTTGAGAGGTAATTAAAATAGCTACGTGTGATATCTACGAGTGTGTTTTGTTCCGCTCACCGCATGCAGAGATGCATGTCGAATAGTCCGCAGCACCGGAACTCCCCCGTCAGCAACAGCGGGTCTCTCCCGTCAGATTAGACTTTACTAGCGTTTATGTCCATGCGCAATCAGCCCATACAGGACATCTTTTGTCTGTCACACACTATTCTTGTATGTCACATAAGAGGTGCAACTGATGCGGTATTGCGCTAAAGGGGATATCATTCTGGCCGGAGAGATTTCCCTACACACACACACACACACACACACACACACACACACACACACACACACACACACACACACACACACACACACACACAGGGAGAAGCCACAAGGTCTGACTCATTGAAAGTCTCTCTGAAGAGGTTAACAATAGTTTAAAGATCTTAATGACCCTGGGATATTTTGGTTTTTTCTTTATGTTTAATTACATCACCCGTTAATAAAATAATCCTTATATGAAGTTATATGAGATTAGAAATAGCTGTAGGTTTAGAGGAAAGAGAAGATTTTTTATTTTTTAAATGTGCTCACCACAGATGTTAGCTGTAAAAAACACTTAAGAATGCACAGACTTGACGGTGTGACCCGAATTGGCTCTTGCCATGTCCTCCCCCCCCCCCCCCCCCACACACACACACACACACACACACACACACACACACACACACACACACACACACACACACACACACAACGGGGGCGCTCTCCCTCCTCTCACGACAACACGCCAGTATCATGCAGCTCGCGGGTCCAATAATGAGTGACTCGACAGTAAAACTAAAACATATCTATAAATAGTTTAGGTAGTTTGAGAGGTAATTAAAATAGCTACGTGTGATATCTACGAGTGTGTTTTGTTCCGCTCACCGCATGCAGAGATGCATGTCGAATAGTCCGCAGCACCGGAACTCCCCCGTCAGCAACAGCGGGTCTCTCCCGTCAGATTAGACTTTACTAGCGTTTATGTCCATGCGCAATCAGCCCATACAGGACATCAGAACATACCTGCGCAGCACTCCACCACGTCTTGGCTATGGCTTCATGGCCTTCACTGTCCTCTCCCTTTGAGTTTTTTCAAAGGCTGGGATACATTTTTCCAACTGATCACTTGTTACCTGGTGACAAACATATGGTTATATAACCTTAAAGAACTAACAAAAAAGAATTAAGTATTTGCAATGCATAAACATAGAAGTTATCACTGTCATATTATGATCACTTAATGTAAGTAAGTTTAAGTAAAACTAACACAAGTCAATATTATTCACCTGGGCATTAGTGGGCTTGAGGGTCTCAGGGAGCGTGGACAAAGTGACTTGTCTCTGTATTTGAGGATTCTCAGTGCAGGCACTAACAGGAAGCTGCTGTGCATTAGTGGAGAGTCCTCTGAAGGCAGCTGTTATTTCATTCACACACTCATCTGTTACCTGCTGACTCCTCATAGTAAGTCTAGCCAAGTCAGCTGTTAAGTTGTCCATACCATCGCTTGATAACTGGTAACTTTTGATTGACAGTCCAGCCATGGCAGCTGCCAACTCGTCCATATAATTCTTAAGAACGTGGTGACAATACTACAAAAAAGTGTATATATTGGGTCAGTTAACCTTGAAGAGCTAAACAGTTCAAGTGGTAAGTAACTAAGTATTTGCAATGAATAAACATAGAAATGATCACTGTCATATTATATAATCACTTAATATGGAGATAAGTAAAACTGACACAGACAGTTTAAACTGCTTGTTAAAACGCTATTGCTTATTGTATTTTCTCAGCACACTAACATAAATAAGGATGTATAATATAAAAAACTAGAAAACGATATAGTATTTTCAAGTCTTACTTTAGTATGGTAAAATTAAGAATAAGTCAAATTAAAGTGTGTCATGATTTTCCGTAAAAAAGTCAAGTATAGTTTGTCAAAAGAATATGAAAAAAAAATCATTTTGTAGAGTAGTATGTTGAAAATCTCAGTGTTTAACTGAACACACCTACATGTGATAACGCCTCGAACAAAGGGGGTAATTAGCATACAAAGGGGGGTCACTAGCATCAGTGGGGGAAAGGTGCTACGGGAATGAACTTTGAGGAGGGGGAACTTGTAAGAATTTCCAGCTTTTGAAGACAATTATATGGTACCCGTCCTTACAGCTAAACAAATCCTATGCCAGGTATTCAACAGACCACAAGAAGCACAAGAAGTCCCAGAAAGGATTACATTCAGAGCTAATAATGGTGAAACCAAAGAAGAAGCAAAGCAGATTATAATCGTTGCGGGTGAAAGGATAGAGAATTTGCAAGTGATGTTAATGCACTTATCTGATATAAAAAATGCATTCATTTACTTCCAAGAGACCCCTAAACATCTACTTGGGCAATGTGAATTGAACGATAAACCGATAACTGTAAATGAAACGCGGAGAGAGGCAGCAGTGCAAATCGTTAAGTCTATTACCTTGTATGCACTACGACATTAACTTGGTCAAATGTAATATGTCTTTCTGAAGATGTGGCGAATGGTGTGTTTTTCAATTAAACAACCATAACAAATGAAAATGTGTTTTATTTTTTGCTTTCATATATAGGAATAGTATTAACTCCTCTGACTAAACTGTGCTAAAATAAGACGTTTCACTGTTAAATTTAAAAAAAAATGGAAGTAGAAAATCGAGATAATGATGAGGCTCGTTATGTATCCAGTAACTATGAACAGCAGTTTGAAAATGTTATTTAACCCTTTAACTCTAATTGACAAATCTAAAATAGCCTCTAGCTTATCTATAAGTTTGTGATTTTAACACTTATTCACTGACACAAGGCAGATTTTGGCTTTTTTCTCATGCCAAGATACTTTTAGACACACTTTGAGGTATGCAAAACCTTAAAACTAGAAAATGAAGTACATTGTCTGATTAGATTTTTTCTTAAAGACTGTTTCTCTAAAAGGCAAGTTTTGTGATTTTTAACACTTATTTACTTTTTTTTCTCTTTTCTTGTGTTACCAAGATACTTTTAGATACACTTTTGATGTATGCAACACTTAACAAAAGGGTATAATATGAAGTACTTTGTAAGGAATGGGGGTTTCTTTAATACCCCGTTTTTTATTTTTAAAAACACTTGTACAGTTAAATAATGTAGGTTTTCTCTGATATTTTAGTTATTTTCAGCTACCAAGATACTTTTTTGAAACACTTTAATGTAGGAACATTTGGCAACTGGTAGAATGTCAATTATTTTGTAATAAAATGTATTTTCTTAAAGACTGTGACTCTAAAAGGGGAAGTTTTTTTTTTTTTTTTCTCCCGTTGTCTTTCACTTACTTTTTGGATACAGTTTTATGTATGACAACTTTACAACTGGTAGAAAGTTAAGTACTTTTTCTGAACAGATTTTCTTTAAGACTGTGACTCTTAAAGGTAAGACAATCCAGTTTTATGGAAGTAACTTAAATTATTTTTTTTTTTGTTTTTTCTCCTACAAAGATACTTATAGTTACACTTTAATGGATGCAAAACTTTATAACTTGGTAAAATATTCATTATTTTGTAATGAATTGAGTTTTCTTTTTTGTTTTTGTTTTTCAACATACTATTGTACACAATGACTTTTCCATATATATATATATATTTTTCTTTTTTTTTTTTTTTCAGACATACTATACTTTTGACTTTTTCCGTAAAATCGTGACAAACTATTACTTATTCTTACATTCGACCTCTTGCTGCTTGGTTGGAAATGATAGATGAAAAAGCTACAAAGCTTAAAGAACTTTTCTAAAAACTCTCAATTCTACAGATGACTCCCCCCACTCAACGCAATAAGTCCACCCCCCACTCAGCAAATCATCTAAAACGAAGGACCCCACTAAGACGCCCGTTGAAAACTAGCCAGGGATCTGAGAAAAACCAAGTCTCCTCCCGCGAGATGCAGCCAGGAACAAACTCCTGGACTACTATCATCCCCAGCATTGTGGACACCCAAATCTTGCAATACTATAGCTGCTGATGTTACTCCTGGGGCCAAGACGTCTCTGTTTTTGAACATAGTGAAATCGGAGTTGGTTGATATTCTGGAGAGGGTGCTGCATCGGTACAGAGAAGAAATCTGCAATGGATCCCGAGTCAGTCACCCCAGCCAGAGGCAACACGATTGTGTGAATGACATTCCAGAATATTTCTTCAGAAACAATTACAACGCGTTAATGAAAAAGACTTTGGCT